CCTCTCAATCAAAGCAGTAGTTGCTGAAAGTACAGGCACACCATTCCGGTCGCGTAATGAGTACATCATGCATATCGGAAGGTACCTACGACAAAGTAAGAATGGGCGTGCACGATAGAATCCTACGTGGCTTCGCAAAGGGTGATACGCAAAGATGGAGAAGCCACTACAGGTCACCCGCTATGATTTTTGCAGTTTTGAGTCACTTATAGAACCTGTTGTCTTGTCCTTTTCATCATCTTGTCCTGGGTCTGGGTAGACTTGGGACGAGCAGAGTGGGTGACGGCACATGCGCGGTATAGACAAGCTCACTCACTCATAAATTCCTTCACCACACGTTCGCCTACTTTGATAACACGCTTGCAAGCCATCTGCCAAACGCCACAACTGACCGATCCTGACATGCCGGGGTTCAGATGGAGCCACCATGTCAAAAATGATGACATGGCTTACCTGCAGGAGCAAATGGTAATGACAGCCACCAGGTTAATGGTCCCAACCAAGCGACTGGGAGGTAGAAGACAGCAGATCGGCTATACCACCACCCTATCACAAATTGAAGCCCTGTGGTCATCATCCATAATGTCGCATTGAATTTGAATGAGAACGATGACTTTGAGGCATTCAACTCAGAATCTAGTTGCGACTCGGGGATTAATAAAATGAAAATCTGGGTAGGGGGGATGGTGTCGACTCAACTGAGCTTTTCAAGGTCTGCTAGACCCTTATCAATGCTCCGTCGAAGTTTGGCCCATTTTGCAAACTGATCTTGGGCACTAGTCTGTAAAAGCTCCGCCTTTTTCGATAAAATTTCTGTCTTGAGTTGCCTTTGACGTTTCACGGCATTCCGGTTGAAGATTCCTTGATATGCTGTCCATGCCTGGGTAGAGGGGTCATTAGAGTACTTAGACAGCCCAGGGCCGGATACACAAAATAAACGTACAAAATGCAGGAGGATCGACTTGCCAATCCATGAGACGAGCTCTGTAATGAACACGAGTGTAAATATCGTGAAAATGAGAGACATAGTTGATCCAGAGCCAGAGCCAGAGAGTATGTGCCCCACCAGGGTGTTACCTCTACCTTAACCCTAATGTAAGGTCACCATACCCTGTGCCTTGGTTCTGCAGTACAAATACAAAACAAAAATCTACCCATGATGTGATAATGCGTCGCAGACTGATCCACTCTCTGGTCACCGCAAAATGCTTCACACAGATCACAGGAACTCGCGTCCACCACTGAGCAAAGTTCCAACAGGGGGTGTCTCAATCCCATCAGTTCCGGTGACGCCCATGAGGTCCGTCCCGTCTGTGGGATCAGTCGCGGTCAAACGCATCACTCTGACATCCAAGAAGAATTGGTGGATGGGTGCGCGCAATGTGGAATAGAATCAGCATTGGACTGATCATTGTATCCAGTGGAGCTTGATGAAGAGGAGAACAAACTGCATTCGTCACAGCCCTTCTCATCACATGCCGAACCCATTCTAAATGACTACATTCCCAACCCCCATCCCCACTGCCAACTCTTCCGACATCGCCGAGTTACAATGCACCAAGAAACCGAACACCATTTTTTCTTTTCCTACACCTGCTATCTACTCGGCACCATCCAATCCCACGGCGGCACTGTCACCCTTCGCCCAGGGTTCTGCATCGAGCTTTTTAAGTGTGTCGTGAAAAAGCCAGAGGTTGTGCAACTCGAGATTAACGGCGAAATGCAGAGCAATGCTCTGGATGTCACTACTCAGTTCCTTGCCGAGTTGCGTGTCTACACTCGCGTAGCGCCGCATCGAAATATTCCCGTCTTTATGGGATGTCTTGATGGCATCGGCATGGTCCTCGAGTTTCTGGAGGGAGGGACACTTTATGACTATCTTGGGCAGTACGCACCATTGGCCCGTGTCGTCTATGGGATTTCCACAACCAGCTGCTTGACGCACTCACGCACTTGCACGCTTACGGGCTGTCCCATGGAGACCTCTCTCTACTCAACGTACAAGTAATAGAGAGACGCGGGGAGCTGACACTGAAGATCATCGATTTCGGACGGTCCGTGGCAGCTGACTCTGCACTTGCGCCGCCAGATGGTGATCCAGTTGATCCTTGGGCCCACCTGAATACTGAACGACATGAGCCACGAACGGAGCAAATATTCCCGGGCACACGTCCATTCTCTGCTCCAGAAATTTTGCGAGGGGAATGTCATGATGCCCGACTTGCGGACGCGTACAGTTTCGGAATGGTTTTAGTATGCTTAGAGCGGGGGCATCTAGTTGATGTTATGCCCTGGAACCAGAGGAAAGACTTACACCCTACGGACCTTTTGGATGGTTGTACATTGTTTGAAGGAAGGATAAGGCAATACCTAAGGAGATGGGATGAACGAAGAAGATTGTTACGAGAAGACCTGGCCGATGTAACGAATGCTTGACAAGTGACGTTGATTTGATAGTATGTTTCTACTACTATGTTACTATGAGGATGAGGATGAGGATGAGGATGACAGTTAAACCTACTGCGGCAAACCCCGGGAGATCGTAAATAAGACCACACAACAACTTACGGGCTCACTCACAGACAGAATCATCAACTCATCTCATTCACTACTCATGGCTTTCGTCCATCCTTCCCGTATGGCCTTTGTGCCTCGAGATTCGAGGGCCACCCCTTCCTCCAATGCTTATCGCCCTTCCTCCCCGGCCCCCACGCACCATTCGCAACCCCCGAGTGCCAACAAAGGAGTTGAGCAACCCGTGGGCTATGACCTCTCGCGAGGTTCCAACCGCGAGGTGGTCCCGCCGTTATCACCTCATGGCGAAGCATTCAGGCGACCAGAGACCCCACCTACGAATGGCCACCCTTGGCGTCGGCAGGAGAATATGTATAAGAGGGATGGTGGGTATGAGGACGGAGACTATTTTGATCGGCAAGTATCTTATAGATGTGCCTGTCTATCAGAAACTCATCATATTTTCTGGCCAGGCGTCGTCAACAGCGTGTCAATAGTACCTTTAGTATCTGGCCCCAATCCCCCGACGCTCCTGCGCGGGAGTTGTATGTGTCCTCTGCTACTTCCAAACCACTCTGGGGATTGATTACCTGATTCCCCATAGGGCATCGGAGCGAAAGCCAGAATCACGCAACAAACACAAGCGGGATCGTTCAACCTCCGTCTCATCTTTGTCAACAGATAGCGGAGAGGAACAGAACCGTCGTGAAAGAAAGGAGCGGAAGCGAGCGCGAAAGGAAAGAGAGAGGCGAGAGCGGCAACATCGACATCAAAAACTTATTTAAATGATGAGACGCACAAGACACAGCGTGGTAGCGGCAGGAAACGCAGCCGGTCAACAAGCATTCAACCCCGCAAAGCTCAATTACGAACGCGAAGTCCGCATCGTGGCCAGTCGAGCGATGAAGATGATTGGGTGGAGAAACCCGCACCTTCAGGCTCATTTGTTCCAGTTGTCCTGCTATTGCGGTACCCCCGAGTATTCCATCACCATCTACCGTTCGGACTGCACAGAAAAAAGATTTTGATGGCGGCGCATCTGATGAAGAACTTGGTCCACAACCTGCGCTGGCGCCAACAACGTCGAAAAAACTTGACGAACGCGCTTACGGTGGAGCTCTTCTACGGGGTGAAGGCAGTGCCATGGCTGCTTTCTTACAAGAGGGCACAGATGTGCGCATCCCGCGGCGTGGGGAAATTGGTCTGACATCGGATGAAATCGGTAAGTTCGAGGCAGTGGGGTATGTAATGAGTGGCTCGCGACACCGCCGCATGAACGCGGTGCGAATGCGCAAGGAGAACCAGGTTATAAGTGCCGAGGAGAAGCGCGGAATATTGAAATTGCAGCAGGAAGAGAAGCAGAGACGCGAGGCTATTTTGAGAGAGGAGTTCCAAGAGCTTTTATCGGACAGGCTAAAGGGAACAGAAGGTGCGGAAGGTGCCAAAGTTTCATAGACATTTGGGATCCGTACTTGTCTGTCATCGATTGATGAAGTGTCATTCCGTTACATAGTAAATATATTTCGCCCATTGGGGACTTAGTGAGGGATGGAATCGAACTGAAAAATAAGGCAGAGTACATCTAAGCTGATGCACTAGGGGGCATTTCATAAAATGAGTAGAACGCGGAACTGTTCAAAGTTCTTGGTGGTTAGATTTGCTAGTTAAGTCGACAAGCTCAACGTCGAAAATCAAGGCTGAATTAGCTGGAATAATGGATCCGAATCCACGTTGACCTGCACAGGGGCGTTAGTCCAAAGGCCAACAGGTGGGTCAAACTACAAACCATAGGCCATGTCGGAGGGAATGGTAAGGGTGCGTTTTTCACCAATGCACATTCCAACGAGACCCTCATCCCAGCCCCTGATGACTTGACCAACGCCGACTGCGCGGAAGGACGTTAAAAGTGAAAGCAGAACAAAGGATATATGGCCGTACGAGTCAAAGGCAGAGGTTGGCCGCGGTCATGGCTTTATTGCCTGTCAGTGGCCGTAAAGCAAATTGTGAGTGAAAACGTACCTCGAGTCAAATTTATTATCGTTGGAAAATAGCTTGCCAGTCTACAGAAGGAAGGCTCAAACTACACATATCGAAAGGCACTCGTGCACGCACGTAATGGACCTTGATCGCATCACCTTTCTTTGCTTTGATCTTGCAGTCCGTCGGTTCATATGTCGTCTTAATGTGCAATTCCTTTGGGGAATTATTCGCCGACACAACTAGTCCCAGGGTCAGAAGAGATAGTGCATGTAAGAGCCGCATTTTGGGGGGTTTTTTTGCTCCCGAGTTGAATAAAAACGTAAGTCTCTACTGTCTCGGAAATAGCCGGAATGGATGAGGGCCTCACCGACCGAAAAGAGGTCGACTTTTGTTTGATGAGCTCGCTAAAGAAACAGTGTTTGTCTAGGCGTGATGGTCAACCTCAGTGCAAATTAATGTGGTGGTGCATACATATATACCTGAGGTGTTAAAGTGGTAAAAAATTATGCATCAGCCGGGAGTCGAACCCGGAGCTAGGCCAACCACCTTAAGTGGGAAGACCCAATGTTACCGCTACACCACTAATGCTTGTTGTTAACTCTCCAATACAAATATACAAATTGAACTGAACAAAGGCATACCTTCCTTCGCACGCTTGTTAGAAGTTACTTGTCCTTTGAACAGCAACTACGATGGCAGACGTGCCAACGTTAAGCATCACTCTTTTGGGCGCAGGCCAAGAGGTAGGAAGGTCATGCTGCGTGCTTCAATATCGAGATATTACCATCGTTTTGGATGCTGGAGTGCATCCTGCCCACACGGGCATGGCATCTCTGCCCTTTATTGATGAATTAGATTGGAGCACAGTAGATGCCATCCTCATTACTCAGTACGCTCCCCTTGATTTGAGAGGAAAGATAACGGTTTTCGATATGTGTCCAGTTTCCATCTAGATCACGCAGCAGCGTTGACATACATCACTGAAAAGGTGCGCCTAGCTCATGGAAGTGGTAGCTCGTGACATTTAGTTCATCTTCCCTAACACGTATAGACCAATTTCAGAGAAGGAAGAGGCAAAGTTTACATGACCCATCCAACGAAAGCGCTTCACAAGTTTATGATGCAGGATTTTGTTCGGATGAGGTGTGTTGTGGATAGATTTTCGCGCGTCTTTCATGGTTGCCCATGTCTCCTCAGCAATTCATCAGCCGACGCATTAATCTCACCTCTCGATCTCTCAATGTCCATCTCTTCTATTATCCCTGTCTCCGTTCACCAGTTGATCACACCCTGCCCTGGTGTCACTTTTACACCGTACCATGCAGGACACGTTCTTGGCGCGTGTATGTACATGATTGACATAGCCGGCCTCAAGGTCCTCTACACAGGCGATTACTCTCGCGAGGAGGATCGCCATCTTGTTAAGGCGGAGGTACCCCCTGTACGTCCGGACGTGCTCATCGTCGAGAGCACTTACGGTGTGCAAAGCCTTGAGGGGCGCGAGGAAAAGGAACTTCGTTTCACGAGCCTAGTGCACTCCATTATTCGCCGTGGAGGACACGTGTTACTGCCAACATTTGCCTTGGGACGCGCACAAGAGCTCTTACTTATTCTCGATGACTATTGGAAGAAACACCCCGATCTGCATAATGTTCCTATCCACTATGCCTCGAACCTTGCGCGCAAGTGTATGGCTGTATACCATACATATATTCATACTATGAATTCCAACATACGATCAAGATTTGCAAGGAGGGATAACCCGTTTGTCTTCAAGTATGTTCCTCCCCCTCCCCCCTTTTTTCCATCACTTCCTTGCGCTTCTTACCCGCAGACACATCTCGAACGTACCGCAAGCTCGCGGCTGGGAGCGCAAAATCGCAGAAGGACCTCCTTGTGTCGTTCTTGCTAGTCCCGGAATGTTGCAAAGCGGTACCAGCAGAGAACTCTTCGAACTATGGGCTCCTGACTCCCGGAACGGTCTCATTGTCACGGGTTATTCCGTCGAAGGTACACCGGCACGGGTGAGTCCCCCCGTTTTTTGGGATGCACCGGGGGTACGGTATTCTGGGGACGCAATGATATTTTTCGCGTGTGTATATAAGATGCAATGGACATCATTTTCCCATCGCGTGTGATCTGAGTCTTTCGCATATTTAATGAAGGCTCACTTCAAGAATTTTGCTGATAGCTTCTCACGAATAGGAAATCATGAATGAACCCGAAGAGATAATTGGAATGAAGGGCAACACCATCCCGCGCAAAATTTCCGTGGACTACATCTCCTTTAGCGCACATGTAGACTACTCACAAAATTCAGAGTTCATTGACTTGATCAAGGCTCCCCACATCGTACGTTTTCTAATCTCTCTCGTCTCGTTTCTTCGACGTACACCATAGGTCCTTGTGCACGGAGAACAAACGGCCATGGGTCGTCTTAGGGCTGCGTTACAAGCCAAATATAAGAACAGGGATGAGGATGTCAAAATTTACTCACCCCGCAATCTTGAGACGTTGAATCTCACCTTCCGCCCCGAGAGAATAGCGAAAGTAATAGGGAACCTAGCTGCGAAACCACCCCAGACAAACGATGTCCTCTCCGGCTTGCTCGTTTCGAAAGACTACTCATACACATTGTTGGATCCTCGTGATTTGCGTGATTTTGCAGGGCTTTCGACGTGTATTGTGACGCAACGCCAGAAAATCGCGCTCGGTGTCGGATGGGATCTCGTGAGATGGCATTTGGAGGGTATGTATGGCCGGGTTGAAGAAGGACTCGATATCGATGGGACTCCGACGATGCGGGTCTGTTTCCTTTCTCCTGGTTCACTGAGGCGGAGTTGACCTGGTGATATTGAACCAGGTTATGAGTGCGGTGGATGTGAAGCAGACGTCCAACCATGAGCTCACACTAGAGTGGGATTCAAGCGCCGCAAACGACATGATTGCTGATTCAACGCTTGCGGTCATTACAGAGATCGACAAGAGTCCCGCATCAGTAAAGAGTACGATCCTCTGTGTTTGTGCGTGCGCATGTACAACTCCTAACTTGATACTGACAGTGACGGCTGGGCATCGCATGAGCACGAGCATCACCCGCATTCAGACCATGACTATAGGCATAACCCGATGGTGCGCATCCAGAGGCTGGGGATGTTCCTCGAAGCACATTTTGGGGAGGTTGAATACCACATGCCAGAGGAGGATATGGAGGGCGAACAAGAAGAGCTAATACCTCACGGTGAACCGTCATTCTTGATCCAGCTGGATGACGCAGAGGCTCAAATCAATCTGCTTTCCATGGTACGCTTCTTTCTCTTACGTGACTGATTTCTCCCGCTGATGTTAATGTGTGCAGACCGTCGAAAGCAACAGTGACGTGTTACGGAGACGAGTTGAAGCTGTCCTTGAGATGGCTGTGTCCACTGTGAGCTCTCTGAGCGAGTCGTTCGCTTCCGGTGCGCCTGAGGAGTTCTCCAATGGACGCGTTCAAAAAGGGAAAGCAAAAGCAAAAGCCCCCGTGTCCCCATCATCAGATGAAGTGCAAGTGAAAACGAGGGGACCTCTTGGATCAAATGATGTCACAGTAGAACAGATGGGTGAGGTCGAAGAGGTTGAAGATACTACTACGAACTAGGAGGTCAGACGTACGTACGCGTACGATACACAATGCACATGCACGCTATTCCTATTCAAAATTTCAAACAACAACAACGGCAAGTGCCACATCACCTTTGAGCGAGTTGAGCATACGCATATATACATACATACTATATCATACCATACCATACCATACCACACCATACAACTACACATAACGTCGCTCGACGTCTTAGACGACAGCCGTGACTTCCATGTTTCGTAGTCCCATACCTTCGCCTCGCTCTCCCGTACCACCCTCTTCGTTTCCACCCGCACTTCACCCGAACGGACCCCGCACTGACCGCAATGGGAACGTGTCGATTCTAATTCCAACAACAACAAACGGCCTCTCGCACTGACATGAACTTCGAACAAGCTTTGCAAGCTAGCGGAACCGTCGTTATTAAAGAAGGGATCGATGTTGATAGTTTAGGTCAAGATTTAACGCCCTCTCTAATGTTTCTTTCCTCTACCTCCACCTTGTCCCCATCCAGCAGCATCACCTCTTCCCGACCACACAGTATGATTCAGTCCACAGCCACATCTCTCATGGCTCCTCCCACACCAACACAACCGAAAAGCCCAGTAACTTCGCCTACTTCCAGACCTCATGCCTCTGCTTCAACGTCCGCTTCTTCTTCGTCTAACGATCTATTTTATGATGTTGAAGACCCCGATTATCAAACAAGACGCCGCTCCATGTATAGGTCTCAGGGAACCGCGAGTAGTCCCGATCTTGCCACTCTCGTCCGCAAGGCGAAACAACGAGGAAGTATACTTCCACCTCAACTTACCGGCAAGGACAGGCGCCACGAAACTGCACCGCCATTGCCTCTAGGTTCACACGCGCCGTTGGACCCTTCTCTGCGGCCCCGTCACAGGTCCTCTACTTCATCCTCCGGGCATTCCGTCTCGCCAGTCATCGCTTCATCGGCCATGTCAAAAGGCAAACTCCAGAAGGCCCGACAGTCCACCAGTCCATCCAACGGCTCTGAATGGGTGCTCACGGGCACCAGTCACGATGACGTGACTATTAAGGCAGGTGTGGGGGCATATCTTGCTCATAGAAGTATTGACAAAAGTATAGAACTCGAAATCCTCAGTACGACAAAAGACGAGTGCCCTCTGGGGTAGGATGTTGGGACAAAACACAATGCGTGAACGCTCAGTACGTGGCAGTGTCATTCTCGTGACCCTTCGGGTAACGTAAATTCATGTAGAAGACCGACGCGTCCTCGCCGTCGCGACGAACGATGCAAACACCCCCGCCTGTGCCTTCATTATCTGCTGACCGTGCTTCCCCCGTCGCCTCTCAGCTGCCGGAACCTTCCCCGGCTTCTTCCCAACCAACCCCCCTTCGCACTACATCGGACTTGTCAAAACCTCTGCCTTCTCTTGAAGGTGAAGCTGACGGAAAAGGTAAAAGTACTGTGGTTAGCGAACCATCACTTGTGGCTGCAGAACGTGAACCCACCATTGGACCATCCCTCCGGCCTCAATCTCCTGAGAAGACGGTGCGTGCCTGCGATACCACAACCCCAGTCAGGGTCTTTGGTCATGGCAAACGTCGAAGTATGTCAGTCGGTGAAGTTGACCTCAAGAAGGCGACGAACAATGTTTCGACAGCTTTGCCGCTTCCTATTGGTATGTATGAGAAGCGCAGCGAGGACTCAGTAGGCTGGGACTCCACTATACGTGGCATTCTCTCCGACTTCAAGGGTGAACTATCACAGCTCGACCAAGATCCCATCGCAAAAAACACGCTTGCCCTTCGCGTGCCGTCCGCTCCCCCCGAACGCCCCTTAAGGCCGCGTATGCGGAGTGCTGAGGCTACCACTTCCGCTATGATGCAATCTGACACCCGACACCCAACATCATCTCCTCTACCTACTTTAAGGCCGAACCCGACCATCGTCGCACATGCGCCGGACGCGGATGGAGAAAGC